TGTGTGTGTGTCTGTCTGTGTCTGTGTGTGTGTCTGTGTGTGTGTGTCTGTCTGTCTGTCTGTGTGTGTGTGTGTCTGTCTGTCTGTCTGTCTGGCTGTCTGTCTGTCTATCTGGCTGTATGTCTGTCTTGTCTGTCTGCGGCGAGCCCTCACCCAGTATGTGCCCCTGTCGCGGTGCGTTGAGGAGGTGAATCCAAGGGAGATGGGACCCGAGAGAGAGAGAGAGAGAAACAGGTGAGCAAACGGCAACGGTGAGACACGAACACCCGCATGCATGACGGCAAAAGGGCACAACTGGCAATGCCAATTCCCGACCATAACCGCCACCGCCACCATCACAGCCATTGCGTACCAGCTGTTACGGACGAGCCAGTACTCTTCGCCGTTGTCGACGCCCCATCCGCAGATGGACACCTGCCACACATTCATACGCACACACACACACACATACAGAAGAAGAGAATGAGCTGGCGCACAAGCACACAAGGCACGCGCAAGCAGCGCCAGGCAAACCCCTCTCAATAACGACACATATGCAGACAAACACACACACGCGAACAAAATCGCGCGTGCACACGACCGCGCATGGGCAGCAGTGTGTGTGTGTGTGCGTGTGTGTGTGTGTATGTGTGTGTGTGTGTTTGCACCTCGTGGTTGATCATGGGGATGAGCTTCTTCTGCGAGAAGACGCCGCCCGTGTACTTCTCAAGCTCGGGCGTCGCGTCGATACCGGCAGCAATGGGGCCGCGAGCATAGATCTATGAACAAGAGGGTGGTCACGAGGTGGTGGTGAGGATTGCAGTGGACAAACGAGGAATACGAGAACGTGACAACGTGTTGCGGTTGATGGCGAATGCACAGACTGTGTCGCACCCATCAGTGTGTGTGTGTGTGTGTGTGTGTGTGTACCTCGGCCTTGATGCGGTCAACGCCGGAGACGCCGCCAAACTCGGAGACGTAGTACAGGGTAAAGTTGGAGATGGCAGAGCAGCCCTGCACAACCAAGGGCGCGGGTATGCGGACGGAAGAAATCGTATCCGTGGTGAGTGATCGTGTTCCTTCTTAGCAGAACACTGCACACACGCGCGCGCGCTCGTACAAGCACACACACACACGCTCGTACAAGCACAAGCACAGGCACAAGCACAAGCACAAGCACACACGCTCAACAAAACAAGCGACACGAAGCACAAGCAGGCATTGTGTTTGGTGTGGTGGGACTGACCTGGCCAGGAGAGCAGGTCTCGCAAATGCCCATGGCGTTGCACTGGCCGTCGCGGGCCTCGTAGTTCTGGCACGTCTCATCAGGGACTGGCGCGTACGCGCACGCGCAACAGAGAGTGGGGCGTGGATGGCAAAGGGAGGGCCAGGCAATGAGGAGGTGGCAGGGTGAGCTTGAGCACGCGAGCTGGGACATAAATGTCGAATGTGGGCAGGGAGAACAGGGAGTGTGGTGCGAAAAAAAAAAAAGACAAACGGCATGGCACACAGAAAGGGGTGGAGATTGGAATGCAGGTGTGTTTGTTTACATCATGTCACATCACTCACTTCCATTGTGGTAGATGTACTCCCAGACACCGCCAGGAGCACCGCCACCGCATGAGCCGCCGCCGTTGCAGTTCAACAGAACCTAAACCGGGTGTAATGCAACATGCCATTGATCAAGAGCGGCAAGATTCGGTAGGAGTAAGACTGTGGTGACAATCACTCCGCGGTGAGGCGTGGTTCCTTTTCGAACCCTTCGCCTGGCACACAGCGACAACAGACAGCATGCACGAAGCGGCGCACCTGCGGGGCGAGGTTGATCTCGGGCCAGGCGTTGCGGCGCATGATGGAAAGACGGTCGTTGAGGGCGCTGGTGGTTCCATGGGCCCAGCAGCTGTGGAGAAACCAAAAGAATCCAAAGGCAGTGAGCAAGTGAGCAAGTGAGCGCGCGTGCGTGTGCGTGTGTGTGCATGTGCGTGTGTGTGTATGTGCGTGTGTGTGTGTGTGTGTGTGTGTGTGTGTGTGTGTGTGTGTGTGTGTGTGTGTGTGTGTGTGTGTGTGTGTTTGTGTGTTTGTGTGTTTGTGTGCGAGTGTGTGCGCGCGCGACATTTGCTGTCAGCCGCGCCTTGGCGCAAGGTGTCTGTTTGCGCCGCAAAATCAAAAAATAATAATCGCACACCGCAGCCAACGCACCTGCCGCAGTACTGCGGGATGTGCTGGTTGCGGGAGCGGGAGAGGAAGTTGACGCCGGACACGTTGTTCCAGGCAAACGACTCCGGCAGCGCACCCACATCGAGGTACTCGTGGGGCTGGGGAGACTTGACCACGGGGCCAAACGTCCAGCCAACTGCACAAAACCAAGCAAGTACAAGTTGCACTGTGTGAGGGGAGTGCGCGGGACAGCAACAGTGTCGTGCAACGAAAGGGCACGTGCGCGATCGCTCAGTCATTGCGCATCGCACAAAACACCAAACGCGCAGCACGCACAGCACACAAAACACACATACGTACGCACACAAAAACACACATACGTACGCACACAAAAACACACATACGTACGCACACGCACACACACACATGTACAAACAGAAGCGTGTTTGCCTGCACGGACACACTTACTCTCAGGGCGGCGACAGCCACCGAGCTGGTGGGCGGAAGCGGTGGCGGCTGTAGCCACAACAGCAAGCACAACAAGCGTGGCAGCGTGCATCGTGGGTGGTGTTTTGTCGCAGCTCTCCAAAACACAATCCCTCCAGTGATAAGTGACCAAAGATATCCACCAATGTTCTGCAGGGTGAGCTGGGTGTGTGGGGTGTGCGCGTGTTGTTCTGTTGTTGTGGTTCCAGCACCTCCGTGCAAGTGCAGCGCCCGTTTGTTCGATGATTGTTTATTGTTACAGAGACCGTCACACCACGCCATGTCACACCATTACGATGAATGCCACAGCATCTCATGTCACACCATTACAATGAACGCCACACCGCCATGTCACACCATTACAATGAATGCCACAGCATCTCATGTCATCACGCCGCCACGACGCGGCTACTGGACGTCCTCAAACGGGAGTGGGTGTTGGATGTGTGGGAGGATGAGGTTGGCAATGGCCTCCGACGCCGCACAGATGTACCTGCGGGATGTCATAGAGAACGGGGCGCCCGTGATGTCGCAGGCATAGCCGCCGGCCTCGCGCAGAATGCACACGCCTGCGCAGACGTCCCAAGGGTGGGGGCCGCACTCGTAGTAGCAGTTTGTTCGGCCGCAAGCGACACCGGTGATTTGGTTGCACGCCGTGCCGAGCATGCGCAGCCCACGCAGATTCTGCTTCATCATGTTCTCCACGCTCCCTACACAGTGTGCATGTGTGTGTGTGTGTGTGTGTGTGTCAGTGCGGTGGAGGAGGAGAGACATGGACAACAAAGCTTGGTCGTGGCGGAGAAACACAACGTCTCTCGCACAATCACCTCACGTCCCACTGCAGCACCGCTACCACAATCACTACCACCACAACAGCCACAACAACAACAACAACAACTATCACCACAATAACCACAACCACAACCACCGTAACCAACCGAGCATGTGTCGGATGGCCTTGTCATCGCGGAGGTAGCCGATGTTGGTGGAGACGAGCAGCTGGTCCAGACGGGTCGGCTGGGCATCCACGTGGATTGGTTTGCCATTCAAGGACGCACCCGCACCCTCATACGCAGTGAAGCACTGCGAGAACCGTGAGAGAAAAAAGGTGTGCGTGTGCATGTGTGTGTGCGTGTGTGTACGTGCGTGTGTGTGTGTGCGTGTGTGTGTGTGCGTGTGTGTGTGTGTGTGTGTGTGTGTGTGTGTGTGTGGGAAAGAGAGGGAGTGAGGAACTCAGTGTGAAACTCATACGATGTTGTCAGAGAAACAGAAACAGGCAAAGACAAGAGACGCAGCGGGAGACTGCAAAGTGTGCCATTTTTTCTTGACCCATTACACAACACGCATTCACGCAGCAAAAATGACACACACACACACACACACACACACACACACACACACACACACACACACACACACACACACCTCATCGCGGATCGGGTTGTAGATGACGCCAAGCTTGGGCACTTTCTTGATGGACAGGCCAATGGAGACGGAGATCTGTCACAGCAGAACGTGGGGAGGGGAGGGGACGTTCAAAGTATGGCGAGCACGCATGTGCACGTCATGTCAACACAACGCATGCACACTCACAGTCCATCCCGATGGCTTGCGCATAAGCGATCGCTGGCAAGCACGCGTGCAAACACAAAACCAAACACACGCACCCCAAATACGCACAAGCAGAATACATACAAACGAACGCCCACAACACACACACACACACACACACACACAAACCTCTGGATTGCGGTGAACAAAGTTTGTGGTGCCATCAATGGGGTCAATGATCCATGTTGGTGCGTCTGTCAGCGCATAGCCGCCGTTCTCCGAAGCGCTTTCTTCCCCGAGCACCTCATAACCCGGAAACTTTTCACGCAGCCGTCTGCAGAACAACAAGCAGTGGGTGGAGGGGGGCCAAACGGGTGTCGGTGGAGCATTGAAAAAACAGGCACACATAAAAAAAAATGCATACGTTTATTCACACTCACTCACATTTACACACTCACTCACTCACTCACACACTCACTCACGCATTCACTCACTCACTCACTCCCTCACTCACTCACTCACTTACTTGACGATAATGTCTTCGCAGGCCTTGTCCGTGTCAGTGACCAGATCGATGCTGGCCACTGTCTTGTCGTCCACGACAGATGCCTCGCGCGGCGTGTGGAAGACGGAGCGGATCTTCTCGCCCGCCTGCAACGCACAGGCAAACACAGGTAATTTGGGGTGATGAAATGCGCCACCACGGCAGAATCATGACATGACACCCACTGACACGCGCCTACCAGGCATGTCAGCAGACACAACACTCCTCCCCCTTTTGCGCCTGTCGTCGTCATCGTGTCATGTCACAAGACCACAACAGGCACACTGACACGCTGTCGTCACACATTTCCACGCACGCACACACCTCCTTGGCGATGTCCACCACTGCCGCAAGCGTGCCAGCCGACAAGTCCGCCATCGTCGTCATCAAAGACAGCACAAAAAAAGTGGGTGGGCAATTCATAATCCCGGTTCGCTAGGTTCAAATCGCGAATGCTTTTGCTTTTTTTTTTTTTTGTGTGTGTTTTTCTCACACCGCCACCGCCCACAGCAAACAGGCAAGCAAACGGCAAGCACAAGTAAGAGAAGCAAGGAAGCAAGAGCAGATTCCCACACCGTCATCACCAACCAACCAAGCAACCAACCACCCACCAGCACCAATCATCATCAGCATCTTTCCACGGCAGCCAGCAGCAGTCCACCTTCGTGAAGCCTCGCTGGTGGGTTGGTTGTTGGTCGCTGGCCTGTGTCATCATCGCTTACACACACTCACGCACACACACACCTGTCTCCCATATCCTTGTACTCCATGCACGCCCTTTCCCATTGCTTGTTGTGTCTTGTGGGACTTGCCTTGTTGACCATTTCTCACCACACACGACGCACGCACGCACAAATTCACACACTCGCCCGTGTGCCTTGCTTGCCTGTCCATCGACCAACTGCCACACCCCCTCTTATCCCAGCGAACCGCCTCCTTCCGTGCCTCCCTCACGCCCTGGAGGTGCTTCAAACCCGAGCGTGATTGCCATTTCTCCACTCAAAAAACACAACTCGACGCATCACCATCGCCCACCCGTTGAGAAACAGCTCGGAAACGTCAGATCGTGGGAGATGAAGATTGTGTTGATTGGCTCCGGTGGCGTCGGCAAAAGCTGCATCGCCCTCAGATACCTCAAAGATCGCTTCGTCGAGGTGGGTTGTGTTGATGTGTGTGTGTGTGTCGGAGTGGGGGAGGAGTTGTCTGTCTGTCAGTCTGTCTTTTCTGTGCCTGTGTGTGTCTGTCTGTCTCTCTGTCTCTCTTTTCTGTGTGTATGTGTGTGCTTGTCTGTCTTGTCTGTGCGAATGTGTGTGTGCGTTTCTGTATCAGTCGCGTTCTCTCTGCCTGCGTGTCATTGTGCTGTTGTCGCCAGCTTCCTTTGGCATCGTACCCGTTGTAGTTGTGCTGGCATCTCACCTGCCCCAACTGTGATGCTTGCCTTCTCGTGCATCGTGCCTGTCTCCAACACAAGGAATATGACCCGACCATCGAGGAGTCGTACAGCACAACCATCGAGCTCGACGGTCATACAGTCCCGCTTGAGCTTGTAGATACAGCAGGCCAAGAAGAGTTCAAGTCGTTCCGCGATGCTACCCTCGACTTTGGAGAGGTCTGGCACCTGCCCTGTCTGTATGTGTGTGTGTGTGTGTGTGTGTTCCGTGTTTGTGTGTGTGTGTGTGTGTGTCTGTCTGTCTGTCTGTCTGTCTGCCTGCCTGCCTGCCTGTCTTGTGTGTGTGTGTGTGTGTGTGTGTGTGTGTGCTTTTGTGCGAAAGAGAGCGAGAACGCGCACTCGTTGTTTGCGCACGTCGTGTGCGCTCGCTGCATGTGTATGAGCCTCGTTGTGTGCGCTTGCTTCGTGTGAGCACGCTACGTTCGTCGCTTGCTCACCGCCGCCGCATCTCATTGCACCGCGCAGGCGTTTATCATTGTGTTCTCCATTACGGATGACGCGAGCTACAAGGAGGCAACCAAGCTTGTGACCAAGGTCGAAAAACTCTTCATGGACGAGGATGTCACGCCCATCCTCCTCGTCGGCAACAAATGCGTAAGCCAAAATGCTTCTTTTGGTTTTGTTTTGGGTGGGAGCGAAGTTGGGGACGGGGGATGTGCGTGAGGCGATGTGCACTTGTCGCCGTGTACAACTTTCTACGTCGGTGTCCGCACTTGTGTCGGTTTGGTGCTCTCAACACGTCAAGTGCATTCATCCCAAGCGCATTCACGCCCCTCCACATTCGCTCCATGCGTGCTGGCTCATGCTCTCCCCACGACCGCCTTCCTCACCCGCTATCATCGTCATTACCGCCACCACCATTATCCTTTACCACCCAGGATTTGAAAGACAGGCGAAAAGTGGAGGAGGCTGTTGCGAGAGGGTTTTGCGAGCAACACAACATCACGTACATGGAGACATCAGCAAAGGTCGGTTCCCGCTGCCTTCTCTGCTGCTGTCATATGTGCACGATTGATTGACCCAAGTGCACGGCTCTTGGCACCTTACACTGCTGCAACAAGTTGTACTCGCTCCTGCCGCCACACCCATCACCAGCACACCTCATTACGTGCCTATACATTCCCTCGAATGGCGTATGCTCACGCGTGCTTGTGCGCTGGCCTTGGCGACCACTGCTTGCTGGTGACTGCAGGAGAGCACCAACGTACGGGATGCATTTGCACACATTATTCGCCTTCTCCGCCGCACAAACCCGACAGGCAATGGTGGTGGCGGTGGCAAGAAGAAGAAGTGTGCCATCATGTAGATGCCTTTGCTGGTGATGTGTCCATCGGTGATTGGCGCACCCATGTGCATACGCGCAAGCACACGCGTGTGCGCCCCCGTATTCTTTCGCCTCATTTCTTCCGCTGTTTTGCTGTCACAACTTGCTGGTCACAAGCTCGCTCGCTCGCCCATGTGCTGTCCACAACCCATCCACGCAAGCCAGCAAACATGCGTTTATGTAGTTGCTGCTTTTTCTTCTTCCTCATCTTTTTCTTCCTCTTTCCTTTTCCCTTCCTGGTCCATGGGCTTGATTGCGCCAGCTGCGCTTCCCTTCCCCGCCATACTCTCCTCCTTTCCTGCCACCATCAGTCCACACGCACGCACACACACACACGCACACTCACACTGATTCCCTAGGATAGTTTTTTTTTTCTTCTTCGTTTTGTGTTCTCCTCTACACGCGCTGTCGTGCGTTTGCGCTGTCCTTCGCCTGTGGAGTGTGCTGCTGTTCTTTCGCTCCTTTGGCTTTCGCCTTGGGCGCTTGTCTCATATTGGGTGGTGGCTGATGCCTTGTCCGCACACACCATGCGTGTGCGCGTGTGCGTGCAGCCATCGCCCCTTTTACTCTCTGTTTACACCAGCGAATAAACACCCCACACCTTCAAGCAAAACACCGCCACACTTGCTTGGGCTGCTTGGTTGCTATTCTTCGTCGTGTATTGATTTATGTGGCACTGGTACGTGTGTACGACTTACGGGTTCGTGTGTGTGTGTGTGTGTGTGTGTGTGTGTGTGTGTGTGTGTGTGTGTGTGTGAAAGAAGAACAAGGGCACGAAACGGTTCAATGTCATGCGTAACTGCACGCGTCACAGTGGATGGATGGATGACTAGCGGCCATCATCACAGCTGCTGCAACACCGCCTTTGTCTCCTCAATCTGACACAGGGAAGTATCAGGTTAATGACGTGTGCAATCGTAAGTGAGAACGGATATGTGTGTGCGTGCGTGTGTGAATGTACAGGCTCGCAGTGACATTAAGATTGTCCAGCCGCAACATCAATCACACAACTGTCAGCAACAAAACGCATGGCGCGCGCATCCATACACTGACTGACAACACACCTCTGATGCGGCGCCCTTGGCCATGTTTGCATAGCGCTCGCTCAATGCCTGCACACAAAAGGAGTGAGCATGAGATGGGTGATGTCATGTGGCAACCAGCAACACAAAGAAACACGCGCATGCACATAACTAGTTCACGCACACAACCGACCCATACACGCAGGGCACACGTTCACACAAGACCACGCTCTCTCACGCACGCATACACACAATTACACACTCGCACGAAGCACACCTGGTTCTGGCGCTTCATGTATGCCCTGTGCAGTTGAATGAACGCATCGCGGTTCCGCTCCAGGTGTTGCATGTATTGCGTAATATATCCCTTCAGGTCACCGCCCTCTGCTGCTGCACCCGCCGCCTTCTTCAGCTCCATCATGCGCTGGGTCACCTCGCGCCTGACAGACACGTGTGTGTGTGTGTGTGTGTGTGTGTGTGTGTGTGTGTGTGTGTGTGTGTGTGTGTGTGTGTGTGTGTGTGTGTGTGTGTGTGTGTGAGTGAGAGAGAGAGAGAGAGACTTGCACGAGTGCAATCCCACCATCGCAACCCCCCACCATCGCAACCCCAGCACTACCACCACTACCACCAACACCAAGCAACCGAGAGCGTGCCGCACCTCTGGCGGGCGAGTTTGAGGACTTGCGGGGACGCGGCGCCTTTGGCCAACGCAGACTCATGCGGCTGCAGCTCAGCATCTGATGATGATGATGATGATGATGGTGGTGGTGGTGGTGGTGGTGGTGAGAATGGGTCACAATAACACACACGCGCGCGCGCGCGCGACACACACACGCACGCACACAATCTAGTGAGCTCGCTTCAGCCATGACACGAACGATTGCATGCCGTTTTCCTTGCACTTCCAACGACAACTCACTGAGTTCGGCGTACAGGGCCGTGAGAGCAAGATTGCTGTGGATCTCACTGAGCCTGCAGGCAATGAAGCACATAAAACGAGACACAAATGCAGACACAGGCACAGACAGATAGTCGTGAATGTGATGACATGGTCCAGAATCAGCTCATACACACACCACAACACATGCCCACCTCAACGACACACACATACACACATTTCACACCCATACACACTCATACGTTCCACATTCATACACACCCAACCATACCCATACACACCCAACCACACTCATACGCACCCATACACACTCATACACGCAACACAATGCGCCTCAATGTGCATGCAAGCAAAGCAGGGGCGTACGGTGGCGGCTGCAGAGCGCTGGATTGCGTCTCGGAGACGGCAGATGATGACGCGACTGGTGCCGCCCCATCACCACCGTCATCATCGTCATTGCCATCATCGTCTTCATCATCGTCACCACCGCCTGTTTCTGTTTCTGCTGTGGTTTTGGCGGGCGAGGTGGCCTGCGTGGTGGATGTCTTTGCCTTCACCGCAGATTCTGCAGCAGCAACAGCGGTCGGCACCTTCTGCCGCGCTCCCTCAATCTGCGAACGCACACGTCGTGTGAGTGATCAGTACACACCCACACTCACACGTGTTCACATTATGTTGAACGCCAACCCTCCCTCACACTTGCTCACACTTGCTCACACTTGCTCACAGGCACTCGCTCACGAAGCTAGTTTTGACAAAGGGTGTGCACCCACCTCTTGTGTTGCTGCTTTGTAACACAACATGGCAGTGCGAGCCAGGTCAGGCTGAAGCAACATCATTGTTGCACAGACAAAATCGTGGTGGGTGCACAAGTGAGTTGACAAACACAGCAGCAACAGCAACAACAAGCGAGACTAGTTGATGTCATCCAGTCACTCACTTCCATTTTTGACACACACACACACACGCACATACACGCGTGCACGCCACACCTGTGAGTCCTTGCACATGGCCACTATCTTCCTGTAGTTTTCCCGTTCCCGCAAGACCTTGGCCAGGTATGCCTTGAGCCTGTCACCCCCTGTACGAACGGTCGCCTTGGCCGCTTTCAGCCGCTCAACGCACAGTTGCCTGATGGTCATGGCGGTGGTGGTGAGGATGAGGGGGTAGTGCATTCGTGGACAAAGTAGGTGCTATGATAGTGCATGGAGTGATCACCACTTGGCCACCAGCACTCAAAGTACAACCATCACCACCATCACCACCACCACCACCACCACCACCACCACCATCACCACCACCTCCTCCTCCGTCACAACGCACCGCTCCTTGACGAGTGCGGCGACCTGCTTTGGGGCGCGACCGCTCTGGATGGCCGCCTGGTACGGCGCAAGCTTCTCCTCTGCGGAGGCGGTGGTCGTGATGGTGATGATGATGGTGATGGTGGTGGTGGTGATGGTGGTGGTGGTGATGAGGGGGGAGCGGTGGTGATGGAGGAGATGATGCAGCAACGCAATTGCAACGAACACATGGCGTACATACACTCACTCACTCGCTCACACACACACACACGCTCATGCGGACACACGCACACACACACGCTCATGCGGACACGTGTATGTGCGCATACAGAGGCGGCAAACACGGTGCAAACAGCGCATTCTTGCTGCGCCAACTGACTGTATTGGTTGAATCTGAGCATGAGCACATCGTGACTGGTGATGTGTTTCGGGTGCAAATACGCTGCAAGCTTGCTGTTTCCGCTCGATTGCGCAGACGCAGGTGATGTTGCTGGTGACGACGACGACGACGACGGCGATGTGGACGTGTCCTTGTTGGGCGAGCGGGCGAGGGCAGCAGTGATCTGCTCCTCCTTCTTCTCCAGCGCTTGCGTCACGGCCGCCGCCTTGGCAGCCGTTGGGTTCACGATGGTCCACGTGTACTCCTTGTCCACCAAGTCCCGCCCTTCCAGCGGCGACTGCAGGCGGAGGACAACCTGTAACGAACGCGCAAGTGGAGGAGGTGGGAGGGGAACAGGGAATAGGAGTGGTAATGCACAGAAACAAGAAGGAGAGAATGGTGAGACGGTCTGACGTGTGTCCACACCACGCGCATGCATACACCATTACATGCGCAATGCAAACAAGCATGTTGTTCTCTCACCTCAAGCTTTGCGGTCTTTGAACGGCCACAGGGGAAACACTTGTGAACCTCCGATGACGCCAGCAGCTCTTGCAGGGGAAGCTTGCATTCACACACATTAATCTCTGTCGTGGGTCGTTGGTGTCATGGTGGTGGAGCGAAAGGGAAACAAGAGCGCGAGTGAGCCCCGCGATCCAGTTATCAAAGCAGCACACGCAAACACACAACACAATACACAACACAACACAACACAGCACAACACAGCACAGCACAACACAACACAACACAACACAACACAACACAACACAACACAACACAACACAACACAACACAACACAACACAACACAACACAACACAACACAACACAACACACATACACACACAAAGTGTGTACCACACACCGTTTGAGAACCATGAGCTGAATCCTTTCTTGCGGGCGGTGATGGCGAGGACAACATAACCGCGGGAAACGAAATTCTTGAACCGCCGATCGCGCGTGATGTGCAGCTGCAGAGCATGGTGGTGGTGGTGGTGGTGGTGGCGGTGGTGGTGGTGGTGATGGTGGGAATGGTGCATGAGCGACTGCGTGATTGCGCAAAAGCCTGTGTTTACATGAGATGACGAGCTCGCAAACGCGCACACACACGCGCGCGCACCCAAACACTCATACACACAACACACGCTCCTGCATGTACGTTGCAAGGTCACCTTGAAGTGGGTGTGGTTGAAGGTTGGGTGCGGCTCGCAGGTCACGTGTTCTTTGCTGTGCTTCTCCTGCACTGTGTCCTTTGGATATGCAAGACTGGCCTTGATGTTCATGGAGTAGTCCTTGCCAACACCTATTTCGTGTTTTGCACGGGAGCAACATGAACGCGTTTGTACGGCGATGTGAGTTTGGTGGTGTGCGGCGTGCCACACGGCCGCATTAATAACACATAAGCACGAGCAGCAACAACACCTTCATCAACTCAAGCACGGCACACGTCTCACACAGGCGATGGCAAGTCAAA